TACCCCACACATTTTGCCCCAAACCTGCCGTTTGCACAGCGCTGAAGTAGAATTTGTGAGACAAGGACCCAACATTCCCTCACCCTACCAATATGCTAATTTTTTTGAGAAGGACCTGTATATATCTGTATTTTTTTTGTTTTCTGGTGGCAGCAGCAATGCAGAAACATTCAACTCCACCAAAACACGACCTGAGCTTTATTAAATAAAACTAAAACAGTTGCCATCACCTGTATTTTTTTACCCTTGTAAAAATACCCTTTAAAAATATTAAAAAATGTGAGGAACAACCCGATTACGTTGTCATTTTTGCAATGTAAATAGTGAAGTTTGGTTCACATGATGAACCTATATATTGTCTATTGTATATTACACATTGTCTTTTTCCAAATGAGTGTATTTTGCTTCTTTTTGATTATTCATAAGTATCTTTTTTTCTGTTTAATTACAACATGCAACTCGATGCCTCCAATTTCCTCCTGTGGTTAATAAAGTGTCTATAAATGACCTCATCATAAATGACCCAGATTGGTAAATTAAATAAATAAATAAATAAAATATTTTGGAAATGTCTTCTTCACACTGTTATGGTAAATGTATAAGAGTTGAAAGAAACACCATTGTGACACTGCATTAGCGATAACAATGTGAACGTCTTAAAAGCTCCTATAATATGTCCAGTTAAATTTGATCCAGTTAAATTTGATCCAGTTAACAACAAAAAAGGTTGAATCATGTCATCTGGACTTCGTTTTTTTGTTAAAAAGAAACGTTTCGCCCCTCATCCAAGAGGCTTCGTCAGTCAATACAATGCATTGTGCAATATTTGCTGTGAAAATGGACAAGGTGGTACTAAAAAAAAAAAAAAACATTTTCCCAAGGGTGGGATTTACATTTTCATCACATGTGCTGATTCTCTGACTGAGGATCTACTGGCAGCTATTTGGACTGTGGACTCAATCCCATCTTGCCATATGTTGTTTGAAAGCTTGTAACCTGTACTTTCTGATAAACCGAGTCTGGTCTTGCTAACGTTCACAAGTGACTCACTTGGAGTGAGACATTACATTTGTGCATTTTGAAGAAAATATGTCCACTGCATAACGGTCCTTAGATTTACATGCACATTTACTGTGCCAGACCCACTCACGAATGTCACACAAACTTATGACTGTCATCACTGCGTAGGTGGGATTCTGCCCATCGCAAACTCGACACCAAACTTGCAGGAAACAAGCAGATTTTGTTTCCCAAATTAGCTGTAGAAGTGTGAAATTAGCGCCTAAAATTGACCTTTTAATCACCGAATAGAATAGAACAGAACAGAATAGAATAGAATAGAAACAGCCTTTATTGTCCCATGGATGGGGAATTCAAGAGTAACAGCAGCAACAGATAAAAAGATAAAAACATGTCACACAAAAGTTCCTAAATGTTAAAAACAATGTATGAAGAAACAAGTTAAACAATATAATAACAATAACACTTTATTTATAAAGCCCTTTATAACAACCACAGCTGCCACAAAGTGCTGTACACATAAAATCAAGAACATTTAAACACAAAAAAACAGTTGTTAAAACATTAAGATCCATAAAAAATAATAAAAACTGTACAGAGCAGAATTCAGTGTGTGCTAAAAGCCAGGGAGTAAAAATGTGTTTTTAAAAGAGTTTTAAAACTGGACAGTGAAGGGGCTCGTCTGATGGGAAGAGGGAGATCGCTCCACAGTCTTGGAGCAGCAACAGAAAAAGCTCTGTCCCCTCTGAGCCTCCGCTTAGATCTCGGCACCTCCAGGAGCAGCCGATTAGCTGACCTGAGGCACCGAGCAGGAGAGTATGGGTGAAGCAGCTCAGAGAGGTAGGATGGAGCAAGACCATTTAAACTTTTAAAAACAAATAAAATAATCTTAAAATGAACTCTAAAATGAACGGGCAGCCAGTGGAGTGAAGCCAGAGTGGGGGTGATGTGCTCCCTTTTTTGAACTCCAGTTAGAAGCCGAGCAGCAGCGTTCTGGACCAACAGGAGGCGTCTGAGGGAGGACTGGCTGACTCCAAGGTAAAGAGCGTTACAGTAATCCAGCCGAGAGGTGACGAAGGCATGGATTACCGTTTCCAGCTGTTGTTTTGTAAGGATGCCCTCAGCAAGTTCTACGCATGCTTTGAAAACACGAACAAACCACCCAGCACCAGACTCACCTCACCACCGGATGAAGAGCTTTTCAGCGTGACAGCAGAAGTAAGGAGTACTTTCAGGAGGATTAACACTCACAAAGCAACTGACCCAGACAACACCCACAGGAAAGTGTTGAAAGAATGTGCCAATCAGCTCTGCGAGGTGCTGGTAGACATCTTTAATACCTCACTCACCCTGGCAACAGTTCCCACCTGCCAGAAGACTGCCACCATCATCCCAGTCCCAAAGAGCTCTACAGTGACTGGTCTGAATGACTATCGGCCAGTGGCCCTCACCTCGACGGTCGCTAAATGCTTCGAAAAACTGGTCATGACCCACATCAAAACAACCATCAACATCAATGAGGACCCTCATCAGTACGCATACCGCGAGAACTGATCAACAGAGGATGCCATCTCCTCTGTGGTCCACACTGCACTCAACCACCTGGAGCAGAAATACTTGTATGTCTGTATGCTCTTTGTGGACTTCACATCCGCCTTCAACACCATGATTCCTCAAACACTGATGGACAAACTAATCACATTAGGACTAAGCCCCTCCATTTGCAACTGAGTACTAGAATTCTTAAACAGACCTCAGTCAGTGAGGATCCACAACTTCTCCTCCTCCACGATAACCCTCAGCAGTGGCTCTAATCAGGGATGTATGCTGAGCCCTCTCATGTTTACTCTGTTCACGTATGATTGTGCGCCTATCCACCCAGGCTGTCATATTGTAAAGTTTGCAGATGATACAGCGGTGGTGGGATGCATCACAAACAATGATGAGTCCAGCTACAGGCAGGAGGTGGAACACCTGGAGAGCTGGTGCAAAGAGAATAACGTTCACATCAATGTGAAGAAGTGAAAGGAGATGGTTGTGGACTTCAGAAGGAACAAAAACACCTACACCCCCCCGAACATAAGAGGATCTGCGGTGGAAGTGGTCTACAGCTACAAGCACTTGGGTGTGCACCTGAACAACAACCTAAACTGGGGCAACACCACCACCAGCCTGATCAAGAAAGCTCATCAAAGACTCTACTTCCTCAGACGGCTGAGATGAGCTGGTCTGGAAGCTCAGTCCTCACCTCCTTCTACAGGTGTGCAGTGGAGAGCATCCTGTGCTCCAGCATCAACGTGTGGCACGGAGGCTGCACAGCTGCAGAAAGAAAAGCTTTGCAGAGAGTGGTGAAGGCTGCACAGAAGATGTTGGAGTCAGTCTCCCCACCATCACAGACATCTACACCTCCAGATGCAGGAAGAGGGCCACCTGCATCATGAAGGACCACACTCATCCAGCACACACACTTTTTGCCCCACTCCCCTCAGGAAGGAGGTTGAGGAGCATTAAGTGTAGAACCACTAGACTGAGGAACAGCTTCTACCCTGAGGTTGTTAGACTCATGAATCTCTAACCAGAAGAATCACTGTGAAAAATCACATCATGTTGCTGCTGATCTGTTTCATGTTGCTGCTGATCTGTTTCATGTTGTTGCTGATCTGTTTCATGTTGCTGCTGATCTGTTTCATGTTGCTGCTGATCAGATTCATGTTGCTGTGTTTATGCGTACTCATCTGCTCACACAGACTCATGTTTGTGCTGCTGTTCGATGTAATATTTTTATGCTATTAGTGCTTAGTGTATATTTAGTTGGTGTTTTTCTTGGTTCATATCTTAGATGTTATCATTGTTTTTCTTTTACATTTTATTGTTGGATGTAACTGGGACTCTTTGTACATAATTTCATTCCACCATATGCACCACATGGAGTGCGAATGACAAATGAAGAACCTTGAATCCTTGAAATTACCCTGTCCCAGAGTGATGGGTGCATCAGGGCAAGAAGAGGGGCAGATGAAGAGATGCACCCATCATACCTAGTGCCTAGTCATCAATGCAAGATCTTGGTGAAAAATTAATGCAACACTGGATGGAAATTGATCTTGTGGCATTGCAGAAGCTTACTGAAACAATGCCACAGTGAATGCATGCCGTAATTAAAGCTAAAGGCGGTCCAACGAAATACTAGTGTGTGACTTTTTTTGGTGGCTACTTTTTTTGACCAGGCAGTGTATTATCTTCAGTAATATTACTATTAAACATATATGATAATCCCTAATAAATATGTGTTAATATTTAGGCAGAAAAAGCAACGACTGCATTTTTGCTTTAAATAATTCCACAAAGAATACATGTGCTACAATGTTCAGTTTTGGTTTTAACAGAGTGAAACAGTGAAATTGTGGTATTTGTTTCCCAAAGTTATATGTCAGAATCTCACAGCGGCCCATGCCTAGACTTTTAACCGGAACTCGTAGGTCTGAACATATTACTCCAGTTCTGTCCTCCCTTCACTGGCTCCCTGTTCGTACGAGGATAGTCTTTAAAATTCGTCTGTTGACCTTCAAATGCTTAAATGGCCTCGCACCCCTTTACCTCTCTGAGCTTCTGGAACCTTACGTTCCCTCTCGGGCCCTGAGATCATCCGATCAGCTGCTTTTGGCTGTTCCAAAAACAAAACTGAAGCTCAGAGGAGATAGTGCTTTTTCAGTCATGGGCCCCAAACTCTGGAACAACCTGCCCCCCAACGTCAGGCAGGCCACCTCCCTTCCTCACTTCAAATCTCTGCTTAAAACACATCTGTTCTTGCAGACATTTCATACAGTGTAAATTGATCCAGTGTTTTTTAATCTGTGACCCTATGTTTTAAATGCTTTTTATTAATTCTTCAGTTATCATTAGTAACCCTATCATTAGTGTATTGTATATATATATATTTTTTTTTCCTCTCTCTTTAATTTACTCATTGATTGTTGTTGTTGTTAAGCACTTTGATAACAGGTTCTGTTTTAAATGTGCTCTATAAATAAAGTTGACTTGACTAGACCACACACAATACATTTGATGATTTCTTGAAAACAAGGTTTGATTTTAGTTTGTGTTTTGTTATTATAAATTCAAAAACTGAGTGTCTTGTACTCCAACTTCTGAAAAAAAGCTTCTGTTAAAAAAAACTGCTCACTTTTAGCACTTTCTATATACAATATGAAAAATGAAGAATATCATTTTGTCTAACCTTTGACATTTGTAGGTTTAAAAAATTAAAATGTCAAACTTTATCATAAAATGTGAATGCAGTAGCTTTAGTTTATAAACTCCATGTGACGTCACTCAGTGGGTAGAAGAAGAAGCTGTGTCCGACTGGTGAGCAGCCGGGCCAGAGGACTGCTGAGTGGAGTTGGGGCCTAAGACTCCAGGGTTACCGCCAAGGTTCATGGGAGCAGGGCGGGGGTTGAGGCGAGGAGGCATTGGATTAGATGGACGAATGAGAGGCGGGGGCTGCTGCAGGGTGGGACGGGGCTGCAGGAAGCGGGCCTGTTGTTGAAGAGGTGGTGGCTGACGATGGAGCGAGGGCGTGGCTGGCAGAGAGGGTCTCAGGAGGGGAGGGGGCTGGTGGAGGGAGGAGGAGTTGGACGTCACAGGAACATGAGCTGAAGAAGAAGAGGCAGCGGGAGATGCACCCGAGGAGGTAACCTGACCCTGTGGAAAGAAGGCAGGGACAGAGTTACTCAAACAAATGATCCACAATGTGGAGCTCATTTCTGGAAGGAAAAACCAATCCTAAAAAATAAAGACGTGGAAACTGACCCGCAGGCCGGTGAAGCATGAAGGTCAGACCTGTTTAAATAAAGGTTGAATTAATTCAACTAACATGCTCAGGAGGCCACAGTTATGTAGTGAACTTAACCTGATGTCAAAACTAAGCCTAAGGTCAAAACCCTTGACCTTAAGAACCTTGTGGGACAGAAACTGTCATTTCATTGATTTGAATCCAGAAATACAGGTTCACCCATCCTGAGGCTTTCCTTCTTGAAAATCAAGTGAAAGAACACTCTCTTTTTATTATCATTACTATTTTACAAATGTTGATAATCAAAGTGTCTTAGTTCAAACCATTTTAGATGTTGCAGTGAACTAATCAATTTTATTAACTGTGAAACAGTGTAATGATTTTTTAATGCTTATGCAGAGTTAGAATTCATGTTAAGGTCTGTTACAGATTTTTATGCATTTTCTGATTTCTGTCTTTGAATGAGCAAGTGTGCGTTTCCAAGGTCAGGAGTCGAAGCAGACATGTGTTGGAACAACTGTCTTGTTTACATCCTCTCAGACGTCAACGGAGGAGTTGGCACCTGTTTCTAAAACTCGCCAAAACAAAACTCTCTCTGTCTCTGAGAACAGTTTAATCTGTTCCATAACAATTCTTGCTGTTTTCTGACTTCTAGTAACCTCTTACATCACAAAACACACCCCTGTCTGGTTGATATGGACCAATCAGGGACGCCCAAATGAACCGGGAATAGAGCTCTTTAAAATGCCGGTACTTCCTAGTTCTCTCGGAGTCTGAGCAGTTCGGCGGCGCGGAGAAGTTCTGAGATGTTCGCAGTTCTGTGAAGTCGTTTGGGAGAACAGAAGTCCAGCCATGATAAGGCTCTTAGGAGTTTGGATTATAACATCTTCCTCCTCTGAGTGGAACTTCTGAAGGACTCCACTCATGTGGAGTCCACCCGGTGAGGTGAACTGTTGTTGACGAAGCCCCGTCACCACTTCGGCCGAGTCACAGCCATCCTATGGAGACGCTGGACAGGTAGCGTAACTGGACTTCGTTTCTTCTGAGTCATCTTCAGAGAGGTAATGAGTCAAGTCTCCTACTTAGCGTACCGAGGAAAAGCTGGGTCGGATGGAGGGTGTCGTCCTGTCAACACTTTTCACTCATACACACCACATTCTCCCTCATCCATACTTTACTCCCTTTAAACTTCATTTCCATCTTTAAATTCTTCTCTCAAGTAGAAATCCTTCCAGATAATTTAGAAATGTCTGTGTAAAGTGCTCATCCACCGCCGTGTGGATAATTGATCATAATTGTACAGTTTTCATTGATGTCTGCTGTTCTGCTGAAGAGTGGAAACAATCGCCATATTGTTCTCACTTCCTGTAAAATTAATTATCTTGTCACTACATGTATTCTACCAAATTAATATAAACAGTGTGCTGTAAAACGCTTTATTCTGTTTATACAATATTGGTGGCCCGTCCGTACGTTAGTACCATATATTGGTGGCCCGTGACGTGTTCATAAATGGACTGTGTATTCGTGTAAAGATTGATTTTACGTGTTGGCATGAAGAAAAATAACAGTTTGTCAGCTGTGCTGGAACGCAGCTGAAGCTGCGCCGCTTGGAGCTTGACTCTGCATGTGTACGCTGGCAATGTTATGGAGCTGAAATTGTGAGTCATATGTCTTTTTAAAGCTGAAATTGTACGCCTGTTATGTGTAACTAAAGCTGGGTTTGTGTGGAAACGCTTTATTCTGTTTAAAGACGGTCCAGACGCGGTTCTGGTTCCGGCTCGGTTCTGAGAAAGATCGAACGAGTTGTTTAAATAGCTAGAAAGACGTTTTTGAGACCGGAGCGTCGACTCCGTGCAGCTCAGAGCTTGATTCGTGACACTTGTAACAGAAATTGGTGCATTTTGACAGTTTGAAAGGCGAAAAGTTGTCGACTTATTTCAGGCTAACAGTAACATGCTAGTTGGAAAAACGGTTCGTGATTGGTTGGATTAGCTGCTGTGAAGCGCTCTGATTTGCTGAGAAGTGAATGACGTGCCTACGTCATTTCCTCTCACCCCCGTGCTGCTTTGTGATTGGCGGATTCAGTCACGTGACCCGGAAATGAAAACTCGTTTTCATAGGGAATTAAAATCTGCTTTTTAAAGTTCAAAAACGCTTTAAAGTTGATTCTGATACGAGGCTTCGTGTCTTCGAAGCATAATTGTTGAAATTTCGCCACGTTAGAGTTTAAAATCCGACATTAAATGATGTTTTTGAACAACGCTAGCGATGCTAATTTTAAGCTAACAGCTAACGACCGGATGAGTGACGGGTCACGTCACTTCCTCCATGTCGGATGTAAAGCTTGGTTGAACCAAAAGCTTTGCTGTGCTTAAAATCACTAAATGTAACTTGCCACATGTCCCATAAAACTCGTGTTCATGCATAACAGTCGTGCTTGTTGAAACAACGCCACGTTTACGCTTAAATTCGTTCAGAAATGTTGATTTTAACAGAGTTTAGCCGAAGCTAACTTTAAGCTAAGCGGCTAAAAACAGGATGTCAACCGAACGTCACAGGAAGTCGTCATAGACTCCTGATGGTAGAAAGCTAAACACTGCCCCCCCTGGAGAAACTTGAGATCACAGTTTCACTTCAGTTTTAGGTATTTTAGTGAAATTAAACGTTTTTTTCTGTAAGGCATTTTTGAGTTGATAAACGTTCCTCAAAGCTGGATAATCACTGTTATCTTGCATTTAAAAAGTAATTAAGGTATTTATACCAACAAACCTTTATTCACTGGTAATTCCTCATTGAGAAGGTACAAAATAAAAGGTAGAAACTTTTTAACAAAAAAGGTAAAGTTTCAGATATTCACTGAGTTGATAAAGTTTACTCATTTGCTAAAAGATAATGCACGTTTAATTGCTAAATCACTAAATAAGAGTAAATATATCAGGAAAAAGAGACTTTTCTGATTTTATTTACCACCTAAACAATTACATCTCCTATTTAATTTTAAATAGAAGATTGGCAGGAGAAAGGAGTACAGTTTTTCTGAAAAAAGACTGATTATTCCTCATCATCAATTTTCTTTTCTCTTTTCACCCACCTGGGTTGATGAGTAACTGTTTAAAATAGCGAATTTCTGGAAGTAAACGGTTTAAAAACATTTTTAAACTGATGTGCTGTGAGACTAAAAAGAAAAATTGCAGGTTTATAAAAATTCAGTGCTTTAAAGTAAAATACACTGAAAAGCGCTTGGTAATCTAGTATCTGTTGAAAAATAAGCACATACAAGTAACACTGCATGGAAGCATTTACTTAAATATTCATGAATTGGGGTAAAACCTGAGACAGGTGCTCACATTTGAATAAGTGACTTATAACAGTACTTTTGTGTAAACCCAAAGCTGAAATAGTGTGAAACTCATTGACATTTGAATACAATTATTTACCTGTAAAAATATCTGAAGCTGGCAATTGTTTTACCCGGAAAAAGTGCTGAACGGTGAATAACCATGACAGGTGTCAGGGAAAAAGACTTTGATCCTTATGGGATGAAGGACAGATTGGAAGATGCGTTAGCGCTGCTGACAGCTTCCTTACATCCATATGGCAGACGGGCGGACTGCATGAACCCAAAAGAGTTGTTGGACGATCTGATGGAGGTTGCAGAAGTTGTGACCTCTACAGAAATTACATTGTCAAGTTATGAAAAGCTGGCTAGAATTGCAATTTTGCTGAAAGAATCATTCTATGCAGTTGTTAGGAAAGCTGATGACCTTGCGCTAAGGTTATACAGTGAAAAAGAGGTGGTTCAGAAGATTGAAGAACACTTCCTTCAATTTAAAAGTGAACACGAGGTCCTCACAAGAAAACATTCTGAACAGATGTTTCAATCACGGCAATATGCAAATGCAGAAATTGATTCGCTGAATAGCAAAATACAGTTACTTAATGCATCACTATCTGCAGCCAGGGATGCTAAAGAGCTGTGGTCCAGTGAATACTTTGCATTAAGACGGGATCACGACGAGAAAATGTCACAAGTTTCCCGCTGCAAAGGTGAAATAGATGTGCTTAAAACACAACTTGAGGATTGCAAAGCGGAAAAGGCGATATTTTTCCGTCATTGTCGGCATTTACAAGGTGAATGTCGGACATCACAGGAACGCCTTAAGGCTTGTGAGGAGAAGCTAAGAGCAGCAACAAACAAGATTTCTGACGTGGGGCGAGTTTGTCTGGAACTCAGAGAAGACCGTGGACAGAGTTCAGGTCACCCACAAACACCTCAGAAAGACGTTGTTGCACCTCCTGCTCTTAATCCACCCTCATCTCGGGCGGTAGGAACAGACCTGGACAGGTCTCTTCCACCGATAGTGCGACAGTGTGCAGTGAATGTGTTCGAGGCATGTTCTAAGACGCCCATAGAAGTGTTTCCTGGTGTAAAGGTTAAACCCCAC